TTCGCCATCTGACAGCCAGGACAGGAGGGCACAACAGAAGCCACCACTTGGCTGACATTTTCCCCATGGTCATAGGATCAGGTGGTGGCCAGATACCTCAGCTTGACATTCTCCTCACAAAGTTGCATGATGAGGTGGTAGGCAAATACTTTGACTTGTGAGCAGCCATTAGATGTCAATTTGTCATGCTTCTCTTCCTGTAACAAGTCACACGACTTTTGATCCCAACTTGAGTGATGTAACAGACTTGGTGAAAAGAATCAAGTGTTAAACATCCAGCAATATGAGTCCTGCTCCAAGTGGTGTTGTCAAATTCCTTTCAGTTCTTGGTTACAACAATTGCCGAGGGGCTAGTCACTGATACATGTGAAACATGCACAAAACCATGAGATGGCGACTTTTAGTTGCAAAAACTATCTTTGATGTTTGCAGAGAAATTTAAATTAAACTTGTTGATATTGGTGGAGGGGGGGGGGGGGGGGGGGGGCATTTGACAAAGTCAAAATACATAGTTTAGTAATAATTATCAAAAGGTTGAGTTCGGTATTCTAGAATTTCAAAAGAACATCTGGAGATTTTATGTAAATATAAGTTTTCTTTTAAATTGTGATAATAATATTAAACAAATTCAACCGGAAAAGGGTTTTATCGCATGAAACAGTTTTTGCTATTATCATTCAATGTTTCATTAATTGAACTGATAGTGCATCTTTAAACTTTCTCAGACAAGACCTTCTAAAATCTCAAGCAAGGTTGAGCTGAAAAACTGGCAAAATGGCAACTGCTATTATTAATCACTGCTATGCATGTTTCAAACCCCATCATATGACATGCCACTTGTCCCCTTTGTACAGTACTGTTTGTGACCCACTCATCCACCATTGTTAATGCAATCAGATAATCCTCCACCACAGGCCAGTCCAGACAAATATTGCTCCAGTGGTATTTTCTCTGATGGAATGATGTCCCTGGTCCTCAAAAACAACAAACTGCCCTATCAGCCAACCATTTCTCACATCTGTCAGAAAAGTGTGACAGAAAGAGTGGATCTTGTTAATCTGCACATCAAACATGGGCTGAAGACCTCTGTAAATCATGCAATCTTGAAGACTGAATGGCTAACTTTGACCTCATGGCCCAATCTGGATGGCCATTGATGGAACTCCAATATGGCTGCTCAGTCATTCATAGCACAGGTTGGAACAAAATTAGAATTAGAGAGTTACAACTGGGATGATTTGATAATGCCAGACCCCTTCTGTGTAGCGGTGGCCCTCAAACAAAGAAATGAGAACCATTGCTCCTGTGGGAGAACAAATATGTTTAATTCCTGATGACATGGTTTCGTACTTCTGTGACAATGATTGCAAAACTAGTCCCTGCTTTTGTTTTTGTTAACATGACATGACCTTCTAGATGATTGACATGATTATACTAGTAATCAGCCCTTAATTCTCCATAAAATCAGAATCCACTTCAAAATTAATCTGAATCAGACATTTTGAAAGATGACAGTCACAAGAAAATTGGAAAAAGAATGATTTAACTCCATCACACAGTTACATACCCAACAACATTAAACAGAAATCCCTATCTGCAAGATACTTGAAACAACTTGAAGCTTTCAAACTTAGCTACATATTAAATGTATTTACATTCTTTTTTCATTTTGACACTGTAACACCAAAGTAGAATATTGAAAGTTTTTTTGTAAAGTAATCGGATGTCAACTTCCCAAGAACATACACTGATATCTATCAAATTCAGATAATTAAGAAAACCCAATAAATCAGATCTGTCATTAGTCAAGTCAAAGATATTTATTACATTTAAGATCTCTGGTCCAGACACATAGTAGTTATGTATTAGTACAGAGTTTTACATATTTGGATAAATCTTAATTTGTAACAGTTCGTTTCCAAGAGAAATAGCTTGTTTGACATATAAAACCAGTTTTAATACGACACCATAATCTTTTATCCTTCAAATAATGAACAGCTTTCCCTTTCCGGAGTTGCCTATAACAACCATTATCAAGAACTAACAGCTCCCATCAATCTTTAATCCCCCAAAACAATGACAAATGAACAAGGGAATTGTATTGGAATAAAGTATTACATGACTTGAGTCAATAATTACAATGATATGCATCAATGATTGCGTGTGTGTACATATAGATATTAATATTATGTTGATATATAACATTTTGTTCAATGATGCAGGACACATGTCTCACTCCCTCCCTAAATGTCTACCTTGAGAATTAATTAATTCCAAATTAAGTAATGGATAAGGTAACCAGCCTGTAGCTCTATTGTAGAGCTAAGGTGATCGTAGCTCCCATACATACTTTAATAACATAGACTGACGGCAGTCACAGTGCTATGATTGCTCTGTGGAACGGAGCCCAGGAATCTTGAAAATGTTACAAAACAGACTTTTGAATGATAACTCTATAAGTCTATACATATGTGCTCATTGCAGTCAGAACAATCCTATCCTAGGTACTGTCTATTGTTTTCCTATGCCATGTTTTCCTATTCACCATTATTCGTTTCTGATAATTGAGCTACATCCAGAACAATGTACTTGAGCTCATTCCCTTCTCTCCAACCAAACCCCTTGTTCATTCTTCATTGTTATACGGTCAATCTGTCACATTAAAACAGCATAAATAACATGTAATTGCCTGTCTCCCTCTCCAATGACCACAGCACATGACCACATAGGGACATTAAAACCCTGTTCTCCAAACACCTCTTAACCACAAATGACCACCATGTTCCTGGAAATGATCCTTACAATAGCCAGTCCCCCAGGACCATCAATTCAAAGTATGTAACTTGTAATGTCTCCCTGAGGTCTACTTTTGCATATCTAACCAATCAAATTGAACGTTCTGCTTGACTTGATGAGCCATGACCAATCAAATTAAGCTCAACCTCTTTCCACCAATCAGACTTCATCATTCAAATGCCTCCTAGCTGTGAGAGTGTTAAATCAGTTTATGACCATGTGCTGCTTACATGACAACTAACTTAAACTGTATAGGCCTCTTCAGACAGATTTTATTGGCTAATCTAATGTAAGGGCTTGTTTCCCTTAACATGCTATGTCAACTGACCAACACCAACTGATCCCAAGCCCTTGAGACAAGCTTCACATCAACACTGGACAAATATATTTAGACTTCATAAACACTATCAATAAAAGCTCATAAAACTTTAAAAGCTGACATAACGATGACTATTCACTGGTAATGAAAGCTTGTGTATCTCACTCATGTAAATGTCAAAAGGCATAAATGACTCTTACTGGCAACGCTTTAAGTTCTATAACACTGAATACACAGCTGTAATGTTGGTTTAAAGTAGAAAGAAAAGGCACATTAATCTTTTTTGATACAAAATAACTGATACATATGTTCCAACAACTCATTATCCATAGGGAACTGCATCTTAGATGAAACTGAGAATAAGATCCTCCAAGACATGAACACACAAACTGCTAAATCTAAAGAAACCTATGATTATATTCCCCACACCTGAACTGTTCAATCTCATCTACCAATTTGATCGGCCATCTTAACTCTACCTTATCACAACCGAGCCAATCAGAATTTCCTTTTTAGCCAGGCAAACAGGTGCTCTACTTGAGATAACTACAGATTAATGGACACCAAATGATTTCCAAGATAATTACAATAAATCTGCACTCCCCGGGGAGCCATGACAATGACACTTCCTGTTTGCCTTTTTCCTTCATGCTGCATAGATGGACATGATGATAAGCCAATAAAACTCTGCATCCTGTACGTGGATATTCTACAAGTGTTTTACTGCATACTTAGTATTTGTTGGGATAGCAGTATTACAAATCAAGATTACCATAAATAAAAGTTCCAAGAAGACAATCAACAATGATAATTTATCAGACTGGGTCTGACAGAGTACGTGCCACTAACTTTGATGCAGAATTACACAGGACCAATGCAACATGATCTAGAAATGGTTATGCATTTGTCTAGTTTTTGCCCATTTACACAAAATTGATACAGAATCCATTTTCATCAATAGTGCAGTGGAGAATAGCATAGCTGTCTGATGACAATTCATCATGGTTATTATCTGTTTATTAGTTGTCAGACAAGCAGATGCAGTAAAACCTGCAGTATAAGGAAACAAAATTGTGGAACATTATAGGAAGTTTCAAGTAGGAAGACCAAATATAATAGATACAAGCACCAGGGGGCTTACGTAACAACGAATGAAGATTAAATGGTTTGAAGGTGAAAGTAAATGCTCAATTTACAACTTCCACAGCTATTACAACCCTGCTTGTGAGAGGAAATGAGAATAGGGATGACTATAGTCTGTTCCAGTGTGATTGGGGGCAGAACCTTTCAATCCCTAGTCACTCTTGTTAGAAGACAAACGCTACTTCCATCTACATGCTAGAAGAAACATGGGCATTATTTGTATCCTACAACTATAAATATGCAAAATGACACATTTCTATGAATATGATTAAACATATACTGTTGACATAAATACAAGGAAACCTTTTTAACTTGTGGGTATGACTGAATGTGTGTTGTTTTGGCTGCAGTTGGATTTCACTGTGCTGATAATGCTATACCATATGAGCCAAAATGACTAAATGTGTCTGTGTTTCCTGATCTTTTACACTACATTTTACTCATTGTGTAAGGGAGGATTGAGTTAAGTTTACTACACCGGAAATGTTACTAGACTTGTTGCTAAAGTTACGGAACTGTTATAGTGAAAATACTGGATTCCGCTGAGACTGCAATGTTTCTTTGCCTTAACAATCCATCAGTGAAAGTATTTTGAGGTAATGAAGTCTTACTGAGTATGACAACTTGCAACAACCCTCGTGAAGCTTTCCCACCATTCTTCAACCAAGGCATCTGATTTTCAGTCTATTGGCACAAAATTCTGCTGACTTGAAACTCTAAGGGGAGACAACTGTTGGCTCACCTTTCATCTGGAAGAAGTTGAGGGTCTGGACGGCATGTAAAGCAGGTGTGTTGTCTAACGTCAGCTCGAATTCCGGCGACACCCTTGGAGCAAGTTCCATCTCCTTGTTAAAGTTGGTGTCAGCAGCAGCTACTCGGTCAATCAGTCCATTTGATACCTGAAACCATGTTAGACATTGTGAATGGCTTTAGTATGATAGTAAGTAAGTATAACACAGTTCTAGCTAGAGATCCCGACCAGGAGATATCGCCTTGCATACTTTGAAATGCACTTCCACCTTCATTGGAAAGGCTCTCCTGAACAGCCAGGGCAATTTATCACTGTTGAAGGGTTACTGTCATACCCTCAACCGTTATCATAAGAAGAAACTGTCATCTAGTATACAACACAGTAGGGATTGAGCAGCATAGGTCCTTTGTACCTCTTGTTTGTTGCTCAAGCTGACTAAGTGATGATTGTGACATTGTGTGACATGACTATAAATGTGTGTCAGTCTGACTGATCCAGACCTGTTTATTTACAGTCTGCTATAATCTTGATGGATTATTGCTGACATTGGTGTAGTGAAAAAATTAATTCACTCTAGCAATAAATGGAATTATTGTCCTTAGCGAGTGAGTCTGGTTTTATATAACTTTTCACATATCTCAGCAATATAACTGTCAGGACACCAGAAAAAGTGGGGTAATGTAATCCTTCAATATGAAAGGCGAATGCTTAAACACCAGGCTACCCTACCACCTTTTTGTCCTTACAAATACCACTGTAAATTACCTCATAGTTCGTAATAATGTACACACTAAATTTAGATTTTGATATACCTTCCAAGGAGGCATGTATTCTCACCAACAGATTGTAAACCTTTTGTAATATTTGTTTACACAAAGAAATGTGCATTCCTCTTTAGGATGAAGAACAAACAAGAAAACAGTCACAGAAAATAAGAATTAAACAATTCAAGATGTAGTAATGTGTAATTCTCTTTAGAATCTGACAGGGCAGGCTGATTTTCTCTGCTAAAGCCATTTCAATAACAAGGATTGGGGTGGAGGGTGGGGGATTCACTGGCTGCACTTAATGAGACTGTATGTGTTCCCTCAACAAATGCATAGAGACACTGCGTGTATTGTCCACAAATCATGGTGTGTGAAACCACTTAACTATCAACACTTCACTTTTGTCTCATCACAGCCAGCAAAGTGACGACAAAAACTGTGGGAAAAAGCATGCAGAAAAGATGCAGTTTCAGTACTTCAGCACAAATTATCTCCCTTTGAATCTACATTGATTGATATGAAGTGGCATCACTGGCAGAGGGGTGTAGAGGGTACATGCCCTTTTTCAGTCACCTTACGTGTCAACATGTCCCATGTGTTTTGTTCTCTTTGAGACGTGGTAGAGTGAGTCGCCCCTCTGGGCTTTCACAGATCTCAGGCAGCACAGGCATTGTTTCTGAGCCATGTGTGTTAAACTGTGTGAGACTATAACAATGGTGGATACCAACCTGTAGGACACCAAGGTTATCTCAGCATGGTTGATACACAGTGTCAATGCATAAAAAATAATTCACACTGCATGTCTTGTAGTTTTATAGATGAAGAAGGACATATTATCCCTGGATGGGTTGCATATTGTTTGGGTGAATGTGTACATGGCACATATTGTTTTCTAGACTTATCAGAACATATTAACAATGACTACTAGCATAACACCATCATCTAACAACTTCTTACTTGGAGTATATGCTTACCGTACTACTTCATGAGGTGAAATCATTTCACTTGATGAATGAAGGAGTTAGCAAATACATGTACTCCGAAACATTGTATTCCTCATAATAAAGAAGTTGACATCCATATATTCTCTTCCTTATGTGTATCACTTCTAAAAGCCTTTCAAAGACCTAGATATAACACTGTCATCCTAGCAACTACTATTTGTAAAACAATGCTATGGTAACAACTATTATGATAATAACACTGTCCTCCTAAAAACTACTTCCAGCTATAGCACTGTCATCCTTACAACTATTCAGATTATGTTGTTCAGCAATTCATCTTCAATTTCCACTGAGGTAAACTCCCTTCAAGGTAGTAGAAGACAGGCCTTGCAATAAAATCTGACACAGGGTCCCTAGGGCGCATGTATTGCCTGAATTCTCAGCTTTCTTCACACAAGGCGATTGAAGAAAATACATTAATATTCTAAACATGGCTTTCTGTAAGCTTGCTTATGCTGATCCATCCTTCCTAAAATAGATCTGATATATATTTTCTTAAATGAGAAAGAAGTCTCCCAGGGGAGAAAAAAGGAAAGTTATGTGCAAATGGACCAACTAATTGATTGCAAATTCCTATATAAGTAGTAACAACAGATCCCCGTGCAAGGTAGAATAAACAAAACAGGATCAACTTCCCCTAGAGCAGCCGTTTCCACATCTAGCTTCTAATTTACAGCTATGGATATAATGAAGAGCTCAGGCAGCAAGAAATAGAAAGTTAGTTTGGTGTATAATTTCTGTTATCATGGTTATTTAGCAAAACAAAATGAGACAATGGTGGAGCTTGTTAATTTGACTCTATCTCCTCAATTACCTCCAGGGATAGCTGCAAGAATGTGCATGCAGCATAAAGCATTTTAAATAATATTAGTACCATAAAAATAACTCATCATAAAAGATCAGGGTTTCACCAGACACAAAATACTGCATCCCTTAGATGCATCTTTCTATGAATGGATGCAAAAAGGTTTAGATTACATGTTATTCCATAAAACTGTTATTTCTATTCTTGGTTGGAAGGGGGGCATGGGTATGGGTGGCCCAGTCGTCTAAGTTGCCGCAATTCGCTGTGCAGAGTTGCGTACCTTGGGCATGCCAGAAACCCATGATTGTGGGTTCGAATCCCGGTTCACCCAATTATGTTTCTAGGTTTGTCAGCACCATACCCATTCATCGAGGGCTTCACCAAAGTGGTAAACATCTGAGACCTGCATCACTTCGGGCTTTCCTCCCACATTAAGCTGACACCATGATATAACTGGAATAATGTTAATAGCGGTGTTAAACCCAACTGACTCGGTTACTATTTCTATTCTGGTAAGAAATACACTCAGCTTAGAGTGTCACTGGTTGATTTTCTTCAAAATAACATTGAAATCCCCATCTGCAACAGGCTAAAAGCTTCTGAGGATTGATATGACATCAGCAAATTTCTTGGAAATCAAGTTAAGTGTGTCACATGTTACAAGACTGGGACCCCATGTTCCTACCTTGGACCCCCCAAATCATAACTGAGAGTCTTCTTTTCTTGAAAATAGATAAGACCCAGGTAAATCCCTCAAAGTCTTTCACTTTATATACAACTGAAGTAATGCAATTCAAGATGGTGAAGAGCACGCCATGATGTCTGTGAAAGACATAACATTGACTGGCAATACTCTCCAGTTTCATCTTCAATACCTTGATACCGTTGTATTGAACCTTGTACAGATGTGTGGTCTGTATGTCGACAAATACGACAAAGCCTTTTCTTGTCATCACATCAACAGAAACAATAAAAACTCAAAAGAAATAAGCAAATGAGTTTTCCACCTCTGTGTTCTATTCCTCAAGCAGTGCAGACCAATCTAGCAGTAAACAGTACTGTTATGACAGTCACGCCACAACACAGCTCAGCCTGATCGCAAGTCAATACCAACTCAGAAAAATTAACTCACATGTTTGAAAAAGCAACTAAGAGCGAACACAATGCACAAGTTGTGCACCAAGCAACTGTTTAACTCACAACTTAAACCCTCTCCCGTGAATGTTCTGTTTTTTACTTGCGTCAGGTTACGTTATTCAGTGTTGTTCCGTGGCAAGGTATATGCACAAGAAGGCTCTGCTCACAGATGCACCTCTCTGGCAGAACATGATACCATGTCATTATATCCATCAGTCACTTACACACACAACTCCTTCCAACTCCACCACAACTATTTACAAACAAGCAACCTTTTTAAATGTATATATATATTTGAACACAGCTTTCACATATTTCAGCACCAAAGATGTCTGCATCTTATTTTCACTCCGAAAACTGTCTGCATTAAACATTTTTATTGGTAAAAAATCTACATGCTTATTTTGACAATATTGCTTGAATTCTGAGGTATTGTAAAAAGAAAACAAGATTGTTTGAGTGTTTATTGTTATGTTCACAACAGATGAACAAGACATGCAACTACATGCCTTTGTATGATATGTCTGTGAAAATAATAATCTACAATTCTCTTATTCATTTTGCATGTGATATGTCCTTCATATACAAATATATATAAAAATAACATTAATTAATAATTTTGTGTATCAATCAAGAAATTACTGTTTACAATACTTTTACATACAGACACAAGAAAACATTTCCTGCAAAAGGGTTTTTAATGCATCATCATGTGTTATTTTAATATTTCCAGTAATCAATGGTTGTTTCACATGTGAAGCAATATATTGAACAATATAATAAATGTTAATCCTAGGGACAATACCTAAGTAGATGTTCATCAGACAAAATGAATCATGATTAATAGACATGGATTTTACAAGTTGACACTGCAACAGATAGCAAACCCCAGTGGACCAAATTTACAACATGGTGTTGTCCGAGAATGCACTGAAAACACTCGAGAATTAGTTCTGGCCAATCAAGCAGATAAATGCATAACGTGCATTCAACAATTTAACACGCTAGAGATGAAAGCACCACGCTAAGGTACAAATCACACCCACACACACGTTAGATGGTGCAGAACATCGTAAAGATAAAAAGCCCAGCCACAAAAAACATAGCTAGTGGTCAGGAAGACGCCACATACTGTCATGTGATACCAGAGGATCAGTAAAAAATATCAGCCGTTGAGTTAACTGCTGTTTAAATTCAACTTAAAATTATCAGTCAGATTTTCAGTGATAAGCAACACCAAGAGTGTTTGACTGAATATAAGGTCACTCTCGATCCTTGTGATGCAACCAACTTCTTCACGTCATGGAGATATTAATCTTTCCTCAACTATGACATAAAAAAGTTGCTATTTCTGGGGAGCTTGAAAACATGTAACACTGTTATGATGTACTCCATCTGATTGTAAGCCATAAATGACACTTGATGCTTTCCTTAC